TTACAAAGAGCGGCTGTGCTGAAAACCACAAACATAAACAGTCAATCGGGCAATGAGTGGCCGACTGAGGCGGCTTTTATACTGTGGAGTGTTCATGTAGGCGGCTTGATTGCAGATGAGAAGCAGGTGTGCAGGCTTGATTGGAAACACACCCAGCTCCAGATAAACACACACCAACACACATGAAAAAACACAAAGGGGAAATCACTTTTACACTCTGTTATTGAGATATGCTACCCACACACACATTGGCTGAAATACACAAACAGGATCCTGTGGACATGCAGGAGGGATGTCAGAGTAAGAGGGCTGCACATGAAGGAGCGCCTGAGCAATTGGGGTCTTGCTCAAGGGTACTTCATCAGTGCCCAGCAAGTGACCTGGCACCTCTCCATCTACCAGACCAATTTACAGACTTGGTCCAATCTTTGATTTGAGCCGGCGACCCCCCTTGGTTTCAACCCAAGTCCCTAGAGAACAAGCTACTGCCTACAAAAAAGATCCTCACAACAAACACGTTTCCCCATGTTGAGGGGGGACATTCTGACTGGTTTGAAGCCAAACTGGGTGAGAAGGTAACACATAACAGGAGTGGACCATTGGGGGTGGTTACAGGTGTGATTTATTTCCAAAATGGCCACCAAGAAAGCAGAACGACCACACAGGGTGGAATCGGATTGTCCCTCCCATCCCCTTTCAGTATCCTCTTTACCTTAACCCCGGGGAAAACGTCATGAGGTTAAGAAAAGATGTCAGGAGACTTCATCAAGGGACTAAGGGACTAATTATCATGGCTGCCACGTAGACGCTTCCGGGTCTTTTCACTCAAGTTAGGAGCCTTCCTAAGCAAAAAAACAAACAAATCGAATGCACCCACAGACATGAAAAGTGGAAAAAACAAACCAAAAAACTAAACTCATTATGACTGACTTTAACAGCCCTCTTCCTTATAACAGTGCTTTTCTATCCCCCCCCCCCTCTCCCTTCATTCCACCCACCATGTAAAAAGAATAAACTGCAATTTAACATTTTCATTTTAAAGACTAGGTTGACCATTAGCTGCTCCAGCCTCGCTGATAAATTCATCAGAGCGTGCAAAGGGCAGTCTGCTAAAGCACGGCTAATGCTCAGAGTGCAGCATTAAATACAACAGTGGACCTGAGTGCAGCTATTAGAAACAGGTGTAACCACTTATTTTTCACATTCTGTCCAGCAATTATGATATTTTTTAATGCGATGTGGCCGTAATTCTTCAATTTGTGTCTGTGTGCTTTTTTTCTTGAAAGTGACTCCCCTGCTGCGCGTGACCTTCTAGGTGTGATTTGATGCGTGGCGGTTAAGCATGAAGATGTGGGACTGATTCATAGAAGCCCACCGTTTGCATAAATTAGCCTCTCTCTTCTTTGCCTGTCAGTGTGTTTGTTTTTCTTTCTTTCTGCAGGGTTAAACGTACAGTAGTGGAACTTGACACAGTGCGAGGCAGAGAGGATGTGAGAGTCTTGGTAAACAGTCCTGGGCAGTAACGTCTCCAGGGTACTGAGCATGTGTGAGTGTATGTGTGTTAGTGTGGTTGTTATGCAGCAGCAGTTAGAGGGAAGGTGCTGCTGCTCTGCTGACATGGGTCACAGTGTCAGGGTGGGTGGTGGGGGGGGGGGGGATGTGGCTGTAAACGGACTCAGGGTCACTTCGCACACGCTCAGGTGATGCAGCTGAGGACACCAAGCTTTTTTTACTTTGACAAACTGGTGTAAATGTGACGTCAGCTTGTTGTTGTTGTCTTGACGTTTAAGAGTGTCTGAAAAGGTCAAACAGGCTGCGACAGACCAAAAGATTTTTCACCAGGCTGCAAATTCAGAAATAATGCATGCAGTAAAAACACACTAATGAAAGTTTAAAACAGTAACAGGAATGAAAATTTCCTGCAGTTTCCTTGATCTAAAGTCTGATTCATATTGGGTTTGTTCACATTTTTCCATGTAACAAGGATCGATCTTTTAGTTGGTAAGAGGCCCGAGTCCATTAGTGCTCGGTCGCACTTCTTATTGATAAAATTGCTTGGATAGAAATTGAGAATGCACAACTTCTGCAAACTTTTTCTGAATAAAACCACCTTTTCCGTCAGGTCGACAAGCCGGACTCAGAAAAGGGATTCTTTCCAGTGGAAGAACAAACAGAAGCATCCTGTGCTGCACCTCATCTTTATCCATGCATACACTTTGAAAGGGGGCAGCGTAACCTGTGAAATACTGCTTCAACACAAACACCATCATACCATCAGACACCTCTTCTGTGTGTCGTCCCAGCTGTTACTGTTTCTCTCTTTGCTGATTCATATTTAGATTAAATACATTCAGATGCAAACGTTTTTTTTTTTTGCAGTTGTGGACGTTTTGTGCGTTAAGTCCACAACAATAGAATTAATTTACAATTCTACAATTCACTTAGCAGACGCTTTTATCCAAAGCGACGTACATCAGAGAGTAAGAACAACACAAGCAAGGATCTAGAAAAAAAGGAACAATGTCAGTAAGAGCAAACGATCAGCTTTGAGTCTGATTGGACACACAGGTGCTGACAGGAAGTGACCAGAGGCAAAGCACAACATTGAGGGCAGTTCTTGAGAGCTCTAATCAGTATAGAAACCATCTTATAAGTCGTCATTATCAAACAAAAACCATCGTCATTACCATCATCATCATCAATAATATGGAGACCATCATCATTAAGTCAGTAGGTATTCATGAAAGAGCTGGGTCTTTAGCTTTTTCTTAAAGGTGCAGAGGGACTCTGCAGATCCAATGGAGTTTGGAAGTTCATTCCACCACCGGGGGGCGACAGAGGAGAAGAGTCTAGTCAGAGACTTAGGACCCTGTTGTGAAGGTTGGATCAGACGACTTTCATTTAGCCTGTTTATTCTGACCACAAGCACAGGGTTGAAACTGTCACCTAATGAGAGGCGAGTGATTTGTTGGGTAAGTTGAAATCGTTGAGGAGGCAGAGAGAGAGCAGCTAAGGTGAATCTCTCTCTCTTGATTAAATGAGAGGCGGCTGGCGATAGTTTCTACAATTTTTGCACAACTCTCAGTTACTCATGCAGGGACTGAATGTACTGGAATGACTACATTCCCTTTTATTCAACTTCCATCTGCCTGCAAAAAACCCCCTGCCATTCACACACGGTTACAAATGTTGCAACTGGTGGTTGCAGTGGTCAGAGGCGCTGCTTGTCAACAGGCAAGGCAGGCAACTGCTTGGGCCCTCGATTGCTGGCAAACTGAAAACCGCAGCAGTAGCTCAAAATGAATGACAGTAGGAAACCTCCCTAATGGGGCCCCATCTGACAGCACTCACTCTCATGTATTATTCCTGTGAAAACCAAAGTTCGTCAGCGAAAATCACTGAAGAAAAATGAAGAACATCTATCCATCTGGGAGTGAGAAAAGAAAGAAGAAGAGCGTCGGGACACAGGCCGAAATAATGGTGGTTGGAGGGGCCCCCAATTAATTTTGCCTAGGGCCCTACAGACTCTAGAATCGACACTGGCAGTGGTTAGCGCTGTTGCTTCACAGCGAGGAGGTTCCTGTTTTGAATCCCCGTCTGACAGGAGCCTCTCTGTGTGGAGTTTACATGTTCTCCCTGTGCGTGCGTTGGTTCTCTCCGGGTATTCCGGCTTCCTCCCACAGTCCAAAGACACGCTCGTTAGGTGACTCTAAATCACCTGTAGGTGTAAATGAAGCGTGGCTGGTTGTTTGTCTCTATTTCTGCATTCATGTGCTGTCGGACACAATGGGAAAAACACGTTTCTGAGTTGTAAAAGTCACATTAACACCTGCTCAAGTTGGAAAAACCACTCGGAGACAATGGAAAAAATTAGGTGCCCAACTTGCCGACTTGACTTCATAATCATCATCACATGGGGGGTAAAATATGTTTTGTTAATGTTAAGATACTTTTGATAAATTTCCTAAATTAACCCCGCCTCTCGCCCAAAGACAGCTGGGATCGGCTCCAGCCCTACCACGACCCCGTAGGGAAAAGCAGTATAGATGATGGATGGAAATGGAAATTTTTGTAATATGCCTGGACTTCTCAAAATAAACTTGTATACATTGATAGTATTATGTAACAATAAATATATATAGGAACCTTTATATGCACAGATCGACCTGAAATCGAGATTGCTGTTCAGTTCCTGCATATTTTCATGTGAAGCAGAAAGCAACACGTTCCCTGACAGGCTCCACACTATAAGCCATGACTGAACACAATGTGCTAGTTATACACAATGACATTGAAACATGCATAACATGTCACAAAGAGGTCAACGAGCAAGGATTCAAAATGATTATGTGTCCTGACAAAGTGTGACAGCACTGTCTCATTGCACTGCTAAGTGTCTCGTGATTTATTCCTTTGAAAACTGAATTGTTGCCCGGGGGCCCCAGCAGACTTTAGAATCACTCCTGATTTAGGCTAAAATGTTTAAATTCAGTAATTTCCACCACAAATTGGTCTCATAATGAGTGCTTATTTGCAGCATTTGTACTCTTACTCAAGTCCTTCTCCCCTCCTGAAAACGGATTCATCCTGTTGTGTGAAACACTCTTAAACATGGGAGCATCATGACCTCACCACACTAAATTTAACACAAGTATCTGACGGAGTTTGTTTTGGTCTCCTCCCACTGAACGTCACATCTCTACAGCTCGGCTTGTCAAATTAAATTCCACCTGAGTATCTCTCATGGACAGTCTTCATGGTTTTTGACTGTTGGGTCGACTTTGACGGACTGCAATCTCGCGATTACGACAGCACCTGAAAGCACCAGCAGCAGCTTCGAAACTCTCCGGGGGCGCAGGTGGAAAACAAGATTACTCACGTTTGACCTGGTGTGTTAAATCGTTTTTTCTTTACATACTTTTGTGTGCTTAAGGAGATTCAGCAGTTTTTTTTTTTTTTTGTCTTTTTTTTCTCTCGTTTTGAGTGACCCGGTGTTACACATGGTTTCCCGAGTGATCTGGCTCCTGGTCATGCTGACAGGTGTCCTGTGCGCGCGCTCCAGCCGGGCTCATACCTGTCCAGCCATCTGCAGCTGCAGCCAAAACACCTTTCAGTGCAATAGAGACACTCAGCTGGCCTCCCGGGGTGCAGCAACATCCGTGACCCGACTGTAAGTAACACAACTTCCCAGCTTCAGTGTTTGTAGTAGTTTGGTGAGAAATCTCAGTGATGCTCCTGTCCAAGCTTTGTCCTAGTATTTGTCATTTTTACCTTAATTGTCTTGCGTATGAGAAAACCTTTCAGTGTTCTTTTAAAGGCCTACCTTCCTTATGAACTGGTGCAAACTCTTCCTTTGACTCCTACAGGTGGCTCTCTCAGCTGTGCCTCAAAGAAGTCCCCACTCATGCCTTCAAGGAGCTCATCAACATTACAGTAATGTAAGTCACTTGATTACATGCTTACATTAATGTGGTAGTAAAGATGGGTTTAACTTAGAAGAGGAAACACTCATACACACTACAACCTTCATGGCACTGAAAGAAAAGGGAATGCTGACTGTAAAAAGTTAGGTCAAACCTTTTTAAAGGGTCCAATAAATTAGTCTACTTCTGCAGCTAAATGCATCTTCAATATTGTAACAATCACAATTCTGTCATTAAACCTTACACTGACGAAGCCTAAATTAATATAAACATGAATACTATCTGTTTCAGAGTTCTTAACAGGCACATAAATCTACAGGAGGAGGATGTTATGTATCAGAAAAAAGCACATCAAAAAGAAACTGTATCAGAAACTTCAGAGGCACCTGTGAGCTTTTTGAAAGAACAAGCACATAAGAAACATTTGCCTTCATGTTCTGTGTTGAAGGGCCTTCAAGATAAGTCAACTCTAGATTACAAAAGACTAAAAACAGCATATAGAGATTTAAAGGGGAAATACTGTATAATGAAAAACACACTTTCTTAGTGTTTTTATTTGAGTTACTGACCCACAAAATGTGTAAATATGTGACAGCAGATATGGGGCAGCTATCAGTGGTAGAGTCGGTCGTCTCTTAACAGGAAGGTCGGAGGTTTGATCCCCAGCTTCTGCAGGCACATGTCTTTGTGTCCTTGAACTGCCACTGTTGCTTTAGGTGGCGATGTATGAATGTGATTAGTTACTTCTGATGGTCTTTTTTCACAGCAGCCTCTGCCATCAGTGAATGTGTAGGTGTGACCTGCCGTGTAAAAGTGCTTTGAGTAGTCAGAAGACCAGATACAATCTCAAGACCATTTAGCATTTAACAGATGTAAGTGTTGCTACAGGATGTGGATGGTTCCCAACAGAAGTTTGGTAACAAGTACAATTTAAACACACTTTAAAGTTTTAAATAAAACACTATGGGTGAATGCACAATAGAGGTTTATTTTGAGGCTTTTTATACCTTTATTTAGAGACAGGAAAGTGGATAGAGTCAGAAACCAGGGAGAGAGAGAGAGAGAGTGTGGAATTACATGCAGAAAAGGAGCCACAGGTCGGATTCAAACCTGGGCCGCCCGCTTGGAGAACGAGTCAGTGTGCGTACATGTGGTTCGCACACTGACCATTAGGCTACCGGTGCCTCCCTTACTTAAATGTTCTTGTGTTTTGCAATAATATCTCTTGAGTTGTAATAATATAAAATGCATCGTTTTGATCTTTGTCAACATTTGTCTGATCAGCTCCAAAAGAAGTCTGACAAATCTGAAGGTTTACATCGTCTTTTACTGTCCCGTTCAAGGTACAAGGTAAAGAAAACTTTGGCAGATGAGGTAGAAACTGACTCGACTCTTCATTATTTACAACATAACTGAATTTCACTTTAGTGTCTTACTCTCAGATTTTTTTTGAAACCATGTTTGAACAAATTCCTTGTTCTCAATGATGAATGAATGATTGTCCAGATGTGTATTTTTTTATCTTACAACAGTAAAGCATGCACTCTTTATAAGCAATATTTAGGTATTTGTCTGATTCAGTTATGAGAAAAATGTTAGTTCATATATTTCTAATTCTTCAGAACAAAAACAAACTGAAGAAAGTTTAAATAATCCATGATATGGGGGGGGGGGTATTTTATGGATATTCTTTGTTAAACATGAACTCTTCAGAAGCTGTAAGTAAACTCGAAATATCAGCACCAGAATGTAATCAGCTGTAGCTCCGATCAGATGGCTATCAGGGTAACAGATTTCAGCAAAAACCCGATTACAACCGGGGTGACACATCTTACTGAAAACAGACAAGAGGAAATATAACCTCTTTCATCTTAATCACTGGTTAATTAGTTCTCATTTTTATCGTGTTTACAGCCTCTAAATACTCGCTCCTAAAGCACCAACGCTGTCCCGAATGGGCTTCACTGTTTAATTAATACATCACTTCAGATAACGATTTTTAGCTCGTGGGGAAATCTTTTCCAAATTGGCTTTTTTTTTGTGTTCTTTGTTAACTTTGCTCTCTCTCTCTGCTCCTCAGGGACGAGTCTTATCAGGCTGAGATACTTACAGATAAAAAAAAAAAACAACTGCGGAAGAGGTTACGGTCCCCGAGCTGTGGTGCAAGTAGGCCAATAAAACCTGTGTCAAGGTAGAGTGACATGAAGTGCTCGCTGATGACGCAGACTGGGAAACGCTTCGAGATGAAGATGTGGAAGAGCTTTTTTTAAATTTTTTAAGCGTCATGCAATCAAAGGAGGGGTGCAAGAACAAATGTCAGCAAGTACATACAGTGTCATGTAATTATTGTTTTAAGAGGAGAGACATTCATTCAAGAAAAGAGTGAGGGGTGACAACAGAAGAGTGGCAGAGACAAAGAGAAGAAGAGAGCGGCTCTGAAAAGACGAAGTCGGCCGCTCCCTCGGTCTTAAAACAAAGTGTTCAAGGACACATGAAGAAGTCTGTTCCACTTTGTCTCTGAAGGTCTTTGTTTAGTCCTCCGTCTTTAAACATCTTCACTCAGTCTTCCTGGCCCAGATGCATCCTTGATGTATGTTTGGAGCTTTTCCAAACATGAGGGGGAAGCATGTGAGCGTGTGTCGCCCTAGTACCCGTTGCTTCCTTTTTAAATATTCCTCCTCGTTTGTGTCCTAATATCAATCAGCTCTGTCCTATTTACAAAAGAGGTTCATTAAAAAGGAAGCTAAGAAAACCATTATATGTGTGGATCTTAAAAGTCACAGGAAACTTTTTTTTTAAAGATTTATTTTTGGGCATTTTGTGCCTTCATATGAGAGATAGGACAGTGGATAGAGTTGGAAATCAGAGCGAGAGAGAGAGTAGGGAATGACATGCAGGAAAGGAGCCACAGGCTGTATTCAACCGCCCGCCACCAGCGCCCCAAAGTCACAGGAAACTTAAATCCAACACAATTGTCTAAATCAGGGTTGAACACATTTTATTAATCATCTGTAAAGCGGGGTAATCGCTTCAGGATAATCAGGCTGATTTCCTGTTCAATTCTCCCCTTTCAACAAAAAGCAAAGTGAGCAAACTCCTGATTTTTGATGGTTCTCAAGATTATCTTGCTAGATTTTCCTTTAGTGTGAGGTGTGTTCAGAGTGAATCTATCGGTTTAGAAGAGAGTTGTGAACGCACAGATTTACGATCCGATTTTCTGTTGTGTGGGGGAAACCCCCGTGGAGAGCCAAGCACACACTCTGTGGATTATCAGGTAAACAAAATGAGCCAATAGGGAAGCAGATTGACTGAAGAAGGAGGCACGGCAACCACAGTAAATCAAGTAATTCCACAACCGTTGGATTGGTTTCCATTAAAACTATAACACACACATATTCCTCTCATGAGGAATTTTAACATCTTGTTAAGTATAGCACATAAAGTAAACAAGTTAATCATGTCAAATTGGATGGATTGGAAGGAACAGAAGGGTGTCATCTGCATCACGGCGATATCTGATGTTGTGGTTCTGGTTGTGCTTTTCCGCTGGAGGAATTTAGCTCGGGCCGTTGTTGGCCACATTGAAAAAACCTCTTTCTTTCCGGAAATATGTGTGTGAAAAACAGTGACATGTCTTGCAAAGAATAATTTCTGCTGACAGTGTTTCCCTTTTTTAAATAATTACTTTGGATTTTTTGTCTCCAAGTAGGATCTAAAAGAGCCACATGTGGCTTGGGTTGAGTATCACTGATCTACAGGTTGAGCTTCACTTTGAGGAGATAGTAATACAGAACAAGCTAATGCTACACAGCCATCGTTTAGCATTGCATTTATAGTTGCATTTGTTGCTGTCTTCTAAATAATTAGGGTATCAAAGCATTGTTATTCATTATTTAGTGACCAATTGAAGCAAATTCATCCTGTTGGAAAATCTTCTTCTTGCTTCTCTGAGGATTTAAACTTACTCTTCAGAGATTAAATAATCTTGTGAAATATAACTTTGTTGTTTCCAGAGTGAGACAGATTTGATCTTCTGCAGCCACACAGTCTGTAGTAATGGTAAAAACATCTTAAAGAGCAGGTTGAGTCTTAATGAGACCCTAAACTTTGATACCATACATCCATTTGGACTTTCCAAGCCACATTTCCGCTTAGTATCCGTTTGCCGTATTTCACTGAAATCCAGCGTTTACAAGCTTGAACCGAGACATTTTCAAGATGTAATTTGTTTACAGCCTCTTGTTAATCTGTTGACTGATGTGAAGCCATTTCTTTGTTCCACAGAGAGATTTCCCAGAGCGACTGCATCAGGCAGATAAAGAGACATGCCTTCCTTTCCCTCCACAGCCTGGTTCAAATGTAAGTGACACGCTACCTTCCACGTCGTGTCAAACTACGCCTGCACGATGAAAAGCAATTATTCATTTGAACAGCTGGTGTGTGTTTTGCATTTCATTGAAGTTTCACAGGATTAGCCTCTCAATTACAAAGCGCCGTGTTTAATCCTGGACTTTCAGAGCGGCTCATCCACCAATGGGGTTGTTGTGTGTTTGTATGTTGACAGCCGCTGACAATAATATTGTAAATGCCGAAACATTTCCTCGTTTTTATCCCCGCAGCTTGGTGCAAAATATCAACAGTCTGAGGGTTATTGAAAAAGGGGCCTTCACTGACCTGCCTAAACTGGAATATTTGTAAGTCACTCGTTCCATCTTAATTATTAATCGACTTTTATCCCACTCCCCAGCTGGTGAGCCAAGAATTGTTTCAATAAATATGAGTTAGATACATTACATTATTATTATAACTTAAGTTAAGGATGCTGCAAAATATCTGGAGTGTACCGTTGATGCTTGGATGGAAGAGAAAATAAATACAGCTCTCCTACCTGTTAAATTAATATGTCAATTTGAGGGAGAGAGGATTGCATGTAGAGACGCAGATTTAAAGACTATTTTGAGTGGTTTCTTATTTTTTTCTGGAACTGCTGTCACCTTTTTCATATAGATTTTGAGGCTGCAGAGATCTCAAGATATCAAGTTATACTTTATTGTCCCCAAAGGGAAATCTTTCTTGGACTCTGTCCTACAGTTACAAGAGAATACAAATAATAAAATACATAAATAGAGATCATCTACTGGGATAAATTGTATTTTTTTAAGAGCAAGGTCCCGATCTGAAGATACTTTTAGTTTGTTTTAAGTTCATTTAAAGTACAAATGGTGGTGGTTACCATCAGGGGTGTGTCCAGACTTTTTGGACTTGGGTGGCCCAACTGGGGCACTGACTTGTGCTGGGGTGGCCTGAAGTTTGAGCACACTCACATGAATGAAGAGCGTTTATTTCCCCCTTCTGTCTGCACTAATCACATCGGCTTTAAAGGTTTTATATGTGATTTCTCACACTTAAATGTAATAGAAATCAAGTATATCCTCTGAAAATAACTCTGTAACTCTTACACAATGGGTGTAACACCCGAGTCCCACTGTCTGTGATGTTTTCAGAGTTTTCAGAGTCCTATCTTCAGTTTGTTTACATCGTCGGGACGGCCGGCTGACTCCTCCCCTCGTGTATAAAAGTTGTTTAATTGAGGGACTAGAGAAAAGAAGAATAACATACTGTACTCACTGCTTAACTGTGTTTCTAGATCACGCTCATTTCAGGTAAATTGACATGCAGTGTGAAGATACCAGCATAATAAAGATCACTAGCATTAGCATGCTATCACAACAATGCAGCGCAAGTTGTTTTGGTTTCATGCTGGTGCTCAAAGGCGACATCTGCTGGATCAAAAAATCGCATTTGAAGCCTTTAAGTAACACAGGATAGTGGCAACATATACATCTTCTTAGCTGCATTCTTCAAGGACTCATAACAATATGTAAGTCCAAAGCTACAATTTTAAGTATTTTTAAAAATGCAAACAAACATCTACACACTGAAAATTTGTGCCCGTTGCAACACAGCATGAATGTTAGATTTCAACATGAATCCATCCTCTGGCAAGGCAAATAGCCAATAATAGTCACGGATTTTGGGGTGGCAGCTGAGGTGGCCAAAAAGATTTAAAGGGGGGCCCATGCCACCCCTCTGGACACGCCCCTGGTTACCATACATTATTTGATGAATTACATTGTAAACTAAAATGTTTCCAGAGCGGGCTCCTCCGATATGTCTGACAAACTGAGACTGTGTGACGTTTTGTTTGAGGGTTTAAATATCTTCTGATCATTACAGGAGCATCTCTAACACAGGGCTGATACACTTCCCCGACTTCACAACCATCTCCTCCCTGACGCCAAATATTATCCTGTAAGTAATCAAGTTTAAAAAAAAGAGTGTGTTTTAAAAAAGAAAACTGGATTAGTGTCTTTCTGCATGTTGCACAACTGCATGTTTGTCGCGGTGTATCTCCAAGTGGAGCCCGAGTTGTTTACTCCGAGCCAACTTTCACTTTTATCTATCAATGTCATGATGCCACCAACCCCGCTGCAAATCCTCCAACTGGGTCACAGTTCATCAAAGAGATCTCTCTTTTATTTGTGTGTGAATATGCATAATTTTGTCTAACTGATAAATTAGCCAGACAGCTGAATGTTATCTCCTCTCTGTGTGCAGAGAAATGGCAGAAAACATGAGGATAGAAGTCATTCCTGCCAATTCTTTCCAGGGCATCACAGAGGAATATGTTGACATGTAAGTACAGACGCCAACTTCTTTCTTGTTTCCTCATTATCAGAGCCAGGAGCAACAAAGTGTCACTATTTGTTAAGGCTGTGTTTAGATGTGTCTCAATATGCTTATGTAAATGGATGTTCAGTTCCCTGACCTCGGTGATAAGTGCCTCTTGACAGCAGACTCAAATTTATAACATCGTGTCCTCGACAGGAACCTGTTCAGAAACGGCTTCAAAGAAATACAATCTCATGCATTCAATGGAACCAAGCTCAACACACTGTGAGTAGCACCTTGATTATTATCAAGATATCTCCTTTATGTTAAGTCTTCAACACAACAAGCTCATCGAGAATGTCTTAAAAAAATATTCAATACACAGCGGTGCTTTAAGGTCTGTCTCTGGCTAATCAAGAAAAAACTTAGTGTACTAGTAAACAAGCGTTATGTAAGACTAAACATGGCCTGTTGTTTTCCTGCTCTGCCCCGTGCCGCTGAGACTTGATGGGGACGAGATACGTACAGACACCATGCAGTCTAAAAATAATGCTCATCTTTCCCTGAGTGTCAAGTTGAGAGAATGAAAAGTAGATGAAAAATGGTTTCGGGCATCGTTGGCCATTAATGTGTCGTCTTACATTTGCTCTCATGTTGCATGTTAACTGCGGCGCGACTGTTTGAACCCAAAGGTCGCTGGTGTTAAAGTTTGTCTTTTTCTTTTCTTTTTCTTTTTTTTTTAGGATTCTGAGGGACAACAGAGGTCTAAGAAACATCCAAGAAGATGCTTTTGAAGAGCCACGGGTCCAAGTGTTTTGTAAGTGACAGCAATTCAACTTAACACAATCCTTTGAAATTCAACATTTTATAACAGAAAATATCTGCCAAAGGAAAGGAGCAAAGTAAATAAATATTTGAAATGTATTTAAAGGGATACTTCACCGGTTGAAACATGAATCTGTATTGACATTGGGTCATATATGTAGAAATGTGAAATACATTTTGAAGTTGGTGCCTTCTTGACCGAGAAAAGACAGAAAGTTCTTTTTGGCTCATTTGGATGAAAGACACCAAATCCCAGAATGCACAGCACCGCAGGCCACTCCCACTTAGGTCCTTCTCGCCGCTATATTGATATTTTTTCACCATTATCAGCTTTCTCCACAGACCCTGTTCGCATCGCTTCCAAGCAATATGGCGGACGTTAAGTTTCGATTCTGGGAGTGAGTTCCCGCCCACTGATCTGTGATTGGTCTGTCGCTTCAGTGGTCGAAAATATGAGGAACTAGCGTTGTAGTTTCACCCCGCTAACCGCAACAGCTTCCAGTGACGCAAATATCATCATTTTGCGTCACTGGAAGCTGGAAGCTCCTTCAGACTTAGAAATAAAAAAAATTCCCATCTCAGGGGAAAATGAGGGCGGGATGCACGACCATTCAAAAATACTACCAGGTTTCTAATGATACAAAGCTCAATGCAATTGGGTGAAGTATCCCTTTAAGGAAGTTGGTTTAATGAGGAATACATAGTTCAAATTGTTCATGAGGTACTGAATGTTCCACGCTCCCGTCCCCCACAGATAAAAAAGACAGACTCCATAAAGAGTAAATAAAGGATTGTGTCTAAGTTAAATACGATACTGGAGCATAAATACATTCTATATCTTCTGTTGTTTGTATCAACAGCATTAAGGCAGCCATATTGGATCTGGGTCAGATGCGCCAGATAAATATTCATAACAATGTTTATCATTTTATTGTCTAAACACGCGGGTGGTGACAGCCTGTCTGTATAAACAACCAACAAGGCAGTCTGGACGACTGCAGAATACTGATTAGAGAGCAAACAGCCCCCGACTGCAGAGAAGACTGCTCACAAGGTCTCTGATGACAAGACAGCCAGTGCTGGAGATATGAAAATGTCCTCTTGTCTTTGTTATGAATTCATGACTGACACAGAGGAAACGCTAAAGGTCTTCCTCCCGCCTGCAGCGTGGGTCGAGTGCGTACTTTTAGATTTGATAAACGTCAGGTTTGAAAGTAATCCAATCAAGAGGGAGAGAAGTGGATTTTAAATGGTTTGCTTTTGTCAGTTTTTTGTCAAATGTCAATAAAATCAGGATTCTGTGAATGAGCATCAGCTTGTAAAAAACTGTTTGATGTACTCATCACCGCCGTGTTGAATATGTAAATATTGAGAATGAGGGCCAGGCTGCAGGAGTGACTCATTTCACACCTTTGAGAGATTCAGCAGATTTAGCTGAAACAGCATTTCCCACCACCATCAACAAACCCTCAAATGATGGCTCTTCACGTGGGAAAAGGTGACTTTGTGTGAAATCCAAGAACGCATATTCAATCTCAGCATACTGCGAATCAGGTTTTTGCATTTCCTGGTTTTCATTTTTCAACCTGGCTGAACAGAACCTCCTGTAGAGCCCTCGTCGAGAAAGTGACCTTGACTTTCTGTTTTAGACTCTGTGCAGGTTGAAAGAAAGCGTTCAGCATTAGAACATTTGCTGAATTGATTCTTCTTCCACACTAAAAGGAGGAATCACAAGCTGCTTACTGCAGTCAGACATCAGCGTGAAGATTTTTTTAAAGTCAAAACAATCACTGCTCCTGCACATATAAGACTTAAGGCGAATTTGTATGTTGTATATGGTCTGTGTTTTATTAACTCAATAAGACCATATAAAACACTAACTCCACCCTAACTCATCATATTTTTTATAAAAACACTTAGCATTAAAAAACTTTGATTTAAAAATTAATCACACCCATGTTTTAGGCAAATCCTGCAATATTCTGTGCACAGTTGATTATATTTTTGTTGTCAAACTCCATGATTCTGTCTCATAAAATAACACATTAAAACTTCAAGTATTTTCGAGTCATTAGGCCCAAGTCCAAGTGAAGTCACGAGTCGAGTTGCAAGTCTTTCATCATTTTGTCAAGTCGAGGCCAAAGTCATCAAATCTGTGACTCGAGTCCAAGTCATGTGACGCGAGTCCACACCTCTGTTGTTAAGTAAATGTGACCTGAACCTGCTGCAGATAATGAGTCTGTTAATTTGTAAATTCATATATTAATTTTACCTCCTGATGACCTCCCAATTATTTCTTAAATTAAAACTGCATTCTCTTCAAATATGCAGATTCTCTAAATATTATTCTTTATAAATGCATTTACATCTACGGAGCCCCTTGTCCCTTTGTGCGCATAACATTTAGTTTTTTAACATTTAGGGACTTCAGCATAACTGGCCTTTTCTTTGCAGAGAAATGGCGAGAACATTCTCCCAAGTATAAGGACATGTTGTTGACTTGGCATGCTCGTGATAGCTGTAACATTTTAATGTTGAGTTTTCTTTTTTTTTTGAGAACTGAGCATGTGTGAACAGGATTTGTTTTGTAAACGGAGGAGGAAAAACCTCCATTTAAAATGTGTGTACTAGGCCTTTAGCTCAACATCCCTCACCAAGTCATAAATCTCACTTTGTAGTAATGCATACCGGCTCTGTAGCTGCTTGTGGTCGTCTAATTCCTCAGTAAAATAAACATGTAAACATTGTATTTATTTGACTAATCTTCTCTGAAATCTCTCTCTGTGTGTGATTCTCAGGGATGTTTCCTCCACAGCTCTGAGCTCCCTCCCTCCCAAAGGCTTGAGGCATGTGAGGTTTCTGAAAGCCATCTCTGCCTTCGCTCTGAAGACCCTCCCTCCTCTGGACAGCATGTCTGATCTGCTGGAGGCCGAGCTCACGTACTCGAGCCACTGCTGCGCCTTCCACACATGGCGGCGGAAACAAAGGTACCCCCCCCCGCTCTCGGAGAGATGAACTAATCCATTCACATCTGCATAAAGAACAAATGCTCCGTCCACTGAATACAGATCATCAGGAAGTTTAGTAATTAGCAGTTTAGTTTTGACTTTGTGTGGTTTAACTTTCCCCCCTTTTTTCTTTTCTCTCTCTCTCTCTCTCTCTCTCTCTCAGGGAAAGTGCTTCAAAGAACTTCACAAAGTTTTGTGATTCCAGCGCAGGAGAAATGTAAGTTGCATCATTCTGCACTCAGGTGTTGTGTGAATGTATTTGGGTGAGGAGGACGGCTGACATGCATAGTTGAGTTTTTCAAGGGTTGTGAGGTGCATGCATGAACAGCCATCTCAGAAATATATCAGCGTCCGCCTGCACTGAAATTTTCTAGAAGGATTCCTTAGAAAGTTTTTTTCTTATAGTCCACTGGCACAGCGCCTACATTGCACCTTTTGTGTTTTTTATTTGTATTTTTTACATTTCTAAATTGTCTTTTATATATTGTAATAGCTTCTTATACTGTATTATTTAAGTTGTTGCTAGTTCTGCTTTATTTCCCTGTTAAAGGCTTCATATGCGATTTTTTGATCCAGCAGATGTCGCCCTTGAGCTCCAGCATGAAACCAAAACAACTCGCGCTGCATTGTTGTGTTAGCATGCTAATGCTAGCGATCTTTATTATGCTGGTATCTTCACACTGCATGTAAATTTACCTGAAATGAGCGTGATCTAGAAACACAGTTAAGCAGTGAGTACAGTATGTTATTCTTCTTTTCTCTAGTCCCTCAATTAAACAACTTTTATACGTGAGGGGAGGAGTCAGCCGGCCGTCCTGGCGATGTAAACAAAGTGAAGATAGGACTCTGAAAACTCTGAAAACATCACAGACAGTGGGACTCGGGTGTTACACCCATTGTAGACAGTCATGACTCACAGAGTTATTTTCAGAGGATATACTTGATTTATATTACATATAAGTGTGAAAAATCACAAATAAAGCCTTTAAAATATAGCAGCTTATATATTCAAAATCGTGTTGCAAACAACAGGGTTATTGATGTTGGACACTTCTGATTGTAGTTGATTGCACCGCTGAAAATGTCTGAATATTTCAAGTCAAATAACTTCATTTATGTGTTAGGAATGTAAGTTGTGTAAAAGAGCATCAGTGTGCACTCAGTTCATATGAATGACAGCACAGACTCAAACCACACACACAAACACACACACGTCACATTCAACATCCAAAGTGCAATCAAAGAGCCCTGAGTGAGCGTAGCTTTTAAGCCATAAAAGAAGGATGCATGACAGATTAGTGATACAGGATGCTGAAAATTGTAGGGTTAAAAATGAACAAACATCCAACTTTCAGAACAGATTCTCCACTGAAATCTTCCTCCGTTGCTTTCACACATCCTTCAAGTGTGAAAAATCACATATAAAGCCTTTAATTGTTTAGCACCAATAGACCAAGTCAAATTCCTCGTATGTGTAAATGTATTTGGCAATAAACACCGATTCAGATTCTGATTCTGATTTTCTTTGATCATTTTCTTTTGGGATTTTTATGGTAATCTAAATATTCTGTTTTTCTTAGAGAGCCCTTCACAGATGGCATGGATCTCACTGACAACATCAACTTTCAGTATCCAGACCTGGAATTAATTTGTCACAACAACCCTTTGGTCAAGTGCACGCCAAATCCGGACGCCTTCAACCCGTGTGAGGACCTGCTGGGCTTCCCCTTCCTGCGCAGCCTCACCTGGATCATCACCATGTGCGCTGTGACCGGTAACCTGGCCGTGCTGATCATCCTGCTGATGAGCCACCACAAGCTGACCATCTCCAGATTCCTCATGTGTAACCTGGCGTTCGCCGACCTGTGCATGGGGCTCTACCTGATGCTCATCGCCTTCATGGACCGGCGATCCCGCCACGAGTACTACAACCACGCCACGGACTGGCAGACGGGGCCCGGGTGTGGAGTGGCGGGTTTTTTGACGGTGTTCGCCAGCGAGCTGTCGGTCTACACGCTCACCGTGATCAGCCTCGAACGCAGGCACACGATCGCGAACGCCATGCATGTCAACAAGAGGCTGCGGTTGTCCCATGTGGCGGTCATAATGGCGGCCGGCTGGAGCTTATCACTGCTGGTGGCGCTGCTCCCCCTGGTGGGCGTCAGCAGCTACAGCAAGGTGAGCATCTGTCTGCCCATGGACATCGACACGCTGGGCTCGCAGGTGTACGTCGTCGCCGTGCTTGTCTTCAACGCCGCCGCCTTCCTCGTGGTCTGCGTCTGCTACGTCTGCATCTACCTGAGCGTCCACAACCCCGAGCACTCCACCCGGAACGGAGACACCAAGATCGCCAAGCGAATGGCGGTGCTCATTTTCACCGACTTTATGTGCATGGCGCCGATCTCCTTCTTCGCCATCTCCGCGGCCCTGCACATGCCCCTCATAACCGTGTCGCACTCCAAGATCCTGCTTGTCCTCTTTTACCCGATCAACTCCCTCTGCAACCCGTTCCTGTACACGCTCTTCACCCGGGCCTTCAGGAAGGACGTGGGCCTGCTGCTGAGACGCTGCGGTTGCCACGCCAACGCCGACCTCTACAGGTCGCAGACTCTGGCCACGCACCTGAACTCTACGCACAAAATGTCCTTCAGAAAACCTCGCTCGCTTAGCCTCTATGCTTATCACATTAAAGTGAAGGGTTGCTTTCTAAACAAGGGAACGACATGACCATCAACTGAGAGAACGGAGGTCAAAATGAAGGTCAGGGTGAAGATCTTTGTCTGTCCAGTTAAAAGCAGACATCAGCGCTGATTTGATCTTGGTTGCTTCACAGAATGACACTTGCATTAGAAAGGATTTTGTGACCTCTAATTGGAGGAGTGTGAACCGATGATGTGGTAAAAAAAAGCAGAAACAGGGATTTGCAAAGCTACTCTGAACCAGCTGCACTTAAGTGATATGCTGTTGTAAGATAGTAGAAATTAAATGTTGTTTGGCTTCATCCAAATTTAGAGTTTGAAGAATAAACTGTGTAAAAAAAACAAAAAACAGATGTAGCCATTGTCATGTCTTTAATGGGACTGTGAGCCCATATTTGAATTTAAGCCTCTGCCATCTTGTTTTTCTAATAAGGCAGGAGTGAGCATCATTGGACAGCAGTGTGGATACAAAGTGGAAAACCTCCAGTGTTGAAAAATAAAGCCAATAGACGAGTGAAAATAAACTGCAGTTCCTCGAGTGTCCACCAGGGCCTGGCTGTAAAAGCCAAACAATCCCCATTAGGTCCCATATTAAAAAACATTTTTACAGCAGAAACCAAAATGTTTACAGCATTGGTACATACTATCTAGGATTTTCGGCTCCACCTCTTTACCCGTTTCTAGATTTGTCAAAAGTAAGGTGGAGGTAGCATTTCCAATATGGCTAACACCACTGTTAGACTTCATAATGCCATTGATACTACATCCATTTTTATACAGTCTATGGTGGATTTGTATTGCTACATCTATATCCTGACTGACTGGCTTCCTATGCCAGGGATGTGTCAATCACAGGTAACCATGCCCAGAAGCGTACCTGCTTTATTGCCCATTTTATTGTAAATATCACAATTTATGTAATGAACGTCAAGCTGTGAAGAGTTAAACTACTGATTTAGAAAAATATATATTTTAAAACATGTTTACTGAGGGTTTAATCAACTTCGACTTTGTTTTATTTTCCAATCATGCTGAAGTATTTTTTTGCGACCAATGGGAGTCGCCTCCTGCTGGCCGTTAGAGAATGCATGTTCAAGGCACATCCTGAAGGCTACATCCACTTCCTCTCTCCAAGCTGTGGTACCATGAAGCTGATGTGATTAAATTAAAGTCTGACTCAGTTAATAGGTTAGTTCTGGTCCATATAAAATACTGCTGCTGTTAAGTGTTGTTATGGATTTTCAAAATAAAACATGCTGTGAAATACTTCAGCTGGCCGAGATTTCTACCTGTTTTCCCCATTTAGCCACAGCTTTAGGCAAAGAAACTGAGTATGCAGGGTTGCTTTAAGACTTTTTTTTAAGATCCACACAAAGAAAATGAATATCATTTTGAGTGCTACTCAATGGCTTTGATTCTCAATGTCCAAATTTGTAGTTTATTTTTTAAATAATAATCACTGTTTTCCCCTGCCAACCTTTTCCTGTATTTCTCATTTGAATCCAAAGTTCCTTTCCTAATTCCCCCGTGGAAAGGGGGCAAAACCAATGGACAAGTAAACTCACAGAGGAAGGGAAGTCTGAGATGGGGAATTATTTCAATAAGGAGGAAAAGAAAAGGAGCAAGGTCTACACCAACGCAAAGCAAGACATCATCAAAAGATTTGTCGGCTGTTTTTTGGTGTTAACACCAACCTTGATTTATTTTCTTCCAACTGTGAGCAGCTACTTTACTGTCTAACCAAAGCGAACCCATAAACTGATCACCTGTAGTGTCTCTGCTGGTGTTTATAAATGAGTTAATGTGTATACTGTAGATCGGGGGGGGAGCGGTTTTGATTTCAAAGTGTAAATACATTTTAAAACCCTCCTACTTAATAAAAGTTAAAAATGACAGTAAGGCCAGGTTTGCTTTGTAGACAGTTGCAAAGAAAGAAAAGGTTTAATGAAAGCAGCAAAACAGTGAGGAGCAAAGAATGATCAAAGGCGAGAAATCACAACGTTGGGAAATCAAACACCATCAGGACTTTTCAAATATGATAAAACAGAAATTCATGCTGTTTGTTTCAGTCGATCAGCAGCTTTGCTCTAATAATTAAATTTCAAACCAAACAAAAGGTATCGGTGATTCTGCAGGAGGTCGAAATACACCGATCGTTTCTCTCTTTTCAATCCGTTTGTCCTTCTTTCAACACGATCGTCTGGTGTGTGAATGGGAGCTACAGCTCGTTACCACTCGGCTTCCCCGACGGCTTTAGAGAAAACGTAGTCCCTGCCTCCGTAACACATCACTCCGTCTTTCAGATGAAACTTCCAGCGGTTCTTACTGCGGTGAATCTGCAACAGAACAAAAAAATCTCTCATAAGTGGAAGTAAGGGCAGCGCAGTTAATTTACAATTTCAGCCTTATCGCAATAAACACATCAGAAGTCTTGATTATTGTGATAAAAAATTAAAATTGTAACATGCAACGCTTTCTCACTCAGCTGTATTCATTTTAAATATTGGATGGAAACCTGGGTATCGTGGCTTTTTGTCAAAAAACAGAAGGTGTTCTAAAATGTTTAAGGTTCACAAACGGATCCATTTGGTCCATACGCAGGGAATAAGAAAGTTCATGAAACATTTTTCTTCATTGTAATTCATGGTAAAGCAAAATTAACAAACATTTTTCATTCCCTTGGTAAAAAACCTGTTTCCCGTCCTGGTGCAGCGTTCCTGATAACTGGTAACCTTGAATTTCAGACTTCTGAGATCAAATGGAACGCACTAAAAGCTAGATACAATTCTACAATTCACTTCACAGACGCTTTTCTCCAAAGCGACGTACATCAGAGAGTAAGAACAACACAAGCAAGGATCTAGAAAAAAGGGAACAATGTCAGTAAGAGCAAACGATCAGCTTTGAGTCTGATTGGACACACAGGTGCTGACAGGAAGTGACCAGAGGCAAAGCACAACGTTGAGGGCAGTTCTTGAGAGCTCTAATCAGTATAGAAACCATCTTATAAGTCGTCGTTATCAAACAAAAACCATCGTCATTACCATCATCATCATCAATAATATGGAGACCATCATCATTAAGTTAGTAGGTATTCATGAGAGAGCTGGGTCTTTAGCTTTTTCTTAAAGGTGCAGAGACTCTGCAGCTACCTGCAGCTAGCTATCAGTTAGTCTCAGATTAATGTTGCCATTGTTGGCTTTTGGTTTTCATTTTGGATTCAGGAGAAACATCACAAAAAGCTATCTTGAAAACATAAAGCGAACATGCACTCTTTGATATTTATGAATTGCACTTCATACCTTTAGTCCATGATAAGCACAGAGCTTTATTAAAGGAGCTACTTACTTTGTCATATTGGCAAACAATCACGTTGTCGGTGTCGAAGAGGTCGGGGATGTCCTGTTCCATCACATCGTCACCTGAATTCAGAGGATCCTGGTGGACAGGAGAAGTGCATCATGGGGGACAAAAAAAGATGCATTTAAAGACTTTTTATTGGATGCTGCCTGCAGAACAAACTGTCCCCGACACATCCTGATTTTAAATCCAACCTGAAAACACACTTTTAGTGTCCGCTCTTGGTTCTTTGTTTGCCTTTTTAATGTTTTTCCTTCCTGCAGGTCTTAAAGCTTTCATCATCACTAAATTGGGGCGCAAAAGCAGAGTGGTGAGTGAGCACGCTCCATGCACCGAGGCGGGTTTGAATCTGACATGTGGCTCCTTTCCCGCTCTCTCTCTCTCCCTGATGTCTGACTCTATCCACTGTCCTCTCTTTAAATAACCTTCATTTTGAGTAAATCAGGAAAGCCTCCTAAACTTAAGTATATATTCCTTTTAAAGTCTCAGACGACTTCACTGGCTCGGCCGACCTGATCTCCCGAGGCAGATAAATGTCATCTCACCTCTTCCACGATGTCAGCGAGTTCATCGGCTCCCTCGCTGTCGCTGGACGAGATGCTGTTGCCGTCGCTGCTTCCTTCTCCTCCTGCAGAGCTTTGATGGCCTCGGCGTTGATGATACCCAGGAAGTCGTTCTCCTCCAGAGGAACCCCGCCCTCGTCCTCCTCCAGGTCAGAGTTGTCTGCGGCGCCGTCCAGCTGAACGATGTCTGACAGGTCGCTGTAGCTGTAGTCCAGGTCCAGCTTCACATGAAGGTGAGGAAACAAAAGAGATGAGAAATGAAGTACAGGCGGGCCTAATCTTTGAAATAAATGTACATGTGTCAATATAAAGCACTGAGATTATTATAAGATTTAAAAGACTGTGATGTGAATGAATAGAGACAGTTATCTCAGATCACTTAAAGGACCAGTCCAACAATGTTATCAAACTTTCATGAAGGGGGACTCATAAAAAAAGTTGCTGCAGCAGAAGCTGAGATACTTTCAGTCCCTCGTATTAGCTGAGCTACAATGTGCCGAATTCTTCATTTCCAAAATTGTTAATTGCAACATGAAGTCTGATATTAGACCGACACATTGGAAATAATACTGTCGGGTAAGGGATGTCGTTTCTTTCTCGAAGTGCCACTAAAGTCATTGTTTAAATATCTACAGAGATAATAAATCCAGTGACAAGAAGGCTCAGACTTTTTTCCCAGAGGAGTCGCCTCCTGCTGGCCACTTGAAAGAATGCAGGTGTAACACACTTCACTATGGCTTTAGTTTGATATGATTTGGACAGAGACGAGTTAGCCTTTTGTTGTTGTAATGCTAAGCTAACAGCTGGAGAAAACAGATATATGAGAGTTTTCTTTACTTTTTCTTCCATTCATTTGTAAGAAAGGGATTTCCAAAGTGTGGGACAACTCATCTCAAGACATCATCAGCACCTTTTCTTATTCCTTTTATATTTTCTTAAAGTAGGAATATTCTTTTTAAAATTTACCCCAAGGACAGGCTCGGCCTGGTTGTCATTCTTTGTGGATGCCTGACTCCTCGCCCTCTCCGCCTCGATCACTTCTTTCAGGATGTCATCGATGTCTCTGGTCTGTAATGGAGCCGTCTGCGCCAAAGCCTCCTCGGCTCTGATCTGAAAGTCTAATAGCTGAGTGCAGGGTGAGGCGGTCATGCTGAGGTCCACAGGTTCAGGGTGTGGACTCGGCTCATTCGCCACCTGAGGCACCTCTGGTTCGGTCTGAGGCAGCGAGGTCTCAGGAGCAGGACCGGGAGGCTGCTGCAGGGCGCTGGTCTCCTGACTGGGGGGTAGGTTAGCATTTTGAGGCGGCTGCTGTGTGACAGAAGCAGCTGGAGCAGGTGACGGGTCCACCTCCTGAGGCGGAGCAGCGGTCTTCGGCGGGGCCGCGGCCGGCTGAGGGGCAGCAGCTCCTCTAAACGCTGTGACCTTCTGAGCAGGTTGAGACACAGGCTGCTGGGTGACCACAACAGGAACATTGACCTTGTAGAGTTGACCTGAGTGAGACAAAAAGTGAAAGTAAAGGTTTTATTTCTCAAACTCAAAGTGCATGCTTAAATCAAAAACAGAATGAGGTTGATAACAGGTAAAGTCAGAGAGTACCTGAAGCTGTCTGTAGAGTTACTCCGGCTGGTATCTGCACCGGGTACGCTAACCCAGCAGGCAGAGAAAAAGTAGCTAGAGTCTCTGAGCCCGCCTGCAATGAAACACTTCTATCAATTATGTAAAGCACATTTCTAACAAATGTGAACTCAATGTGTGATGGAAAAAATAAACCAGCAAAAGAATAAGGAAATATTTCTGATAAGGGGTTACAGTATGAGTTCAAAACTAGTTTGTTTATTTCTATAACACATTTCAACAACAAGGCGATTCAAAGTGCTTCACACAAGACATCAAAAAGCATCATGACAGAGGAAGAAAAGAAACATTAAAATAGAACATCAAAAAAATCACTGAAATTATTAAATCTGAAAATATGTTCAAATAAAAACAATTCAAATGAAATTAATTGAAGTAAAAATATAAAAAGAGTTAAAAGTTAAAATCTTATTAAAATCGTTTAACACTACATATTTTCTTAAAGGAACAATGTGCGACATGTTACACACACACACACACATATATATATATATATATATATCAGATATGAAGTCTCTCCTGTGTAAATGTGTCTCTGAGTCATGACTGTCTACAATGAGGGAGAAGCTCGAGTCCCGCTGGCTGTGTTGTTGTCAGAGCCGTGTTTACATGGACTGTTTATATTTCATGTTGACTCAGAACTTTATTCTGTAAGTGACCGAAGCTGCTAAGAGCATTCCTCAAGGATCACTGTTGCTGGATTCAGTGCCTCTTACCTGACCTTTTTTTTTTTTTACCTCTAAGCTTTTTTAAATTAATTTTGTATTTTTCCGTCCTTTGAATGCCTTGCTGTAAAATGAATCTTCCTTCAGGGACAAAATAAAGTTGAACTTCGACCTCAACGCTAGGCCATCTGCGCCCGGAGCCCTGTCTGTGTTTCAGTTTGTATGGCCCCTTTACGACCTCTCAACCCAGAGACAAACGTTCTGTTGTACAATTGAAGTGAACCTGACAGCCATACTAGAAACAGATTTTAAAAATTCCACTTTTGAAATCAAACTGCTTGAAATGTTTCAAAAGGGCAGCTCCATCAGAATCATACGGCCATCATTTTGCTCCCATTTGAGCCCACAAAGTGAAATCAGTTGGGTGATGTTGTGTAAATCCTGATGACACTTGCCTTGAGTCTGGGGAAACTGTGGATAGTCTGACTCGCAGGGATCACGACTGAGGCTGAGAGCACAAATCAAAGCAGAGCAGGTGACACACAAACGTGAAGGATGAGCTTTTCTGCTGTCTGGATCAGTGCTGCAAATATCTCATTTCAAACACACACGCACACGCGCTGTGTTACCTCTACCTGTGACGTCCTGATCAGTCTGCGTGTAGCTTGCAGGGAGCTGCAGCACAAAGTTGGATGAGTTGATGTTGTTTTTCCTGAAGTCTTCCATTGCTTTTGACTGCATCATCTTCGACTCCCAAAGCTGCACAATCAGAAGACACAAGCAGGCAGTGTGTATACAGACAGACAGCTGTGGCTGACAACATTATCTAAATATGTTTCTTTGGAATGAAGTAAAGGGCTTTGTAGAAAACTTCTCACATGTCTTAAATCATCCAGGACCCGGTCTTCAAGGCCTTCATCCAGGAAAAGCTCCCTCATACTCTCAATCACGTCATCAATTATGGACAGGTAGAGCTTGGCCTGCAGATGTTTACAAGAATGTGTAGGTTATATGAACACACCACACTCCATTCTGCCTTTTTTATGTAAATTAATGTTTTAAAGCTATAAACTCATACACCTGTCTGTCACTGAGGATATTTTCTACACTTAAAAAAGTCACTCATTAATTCGGGATACAAAAAATGAGTCTCTATGCTGAAATATTATTCCTTAGCTGATCATTTATAACGAACACGTCCATTCAGAGAGTCAAAAATACATTACATGAATTTCATATAATTATACTTAACATGATCAACTAAAATTGCGCTGAAAAAATTAAAAAAGTTGAATGTCCAGTATACAAAAAGTAGTAAATGATGCGTTCAGGTGCGCGTTTATTTGGCTGCTTCTAGATCATTCGATAACCGTGAACATGTTTTTTGTTGCATGTAGCAAAACGAGCTGAATAAGTTATTATCTTACCACAGGGCCCGTGTTGGAGAGCATGACTCAAAACAAAGATAACTGAGACAAAGTTTGTAGAAATATAATATAAACCGGGATGATCCGGTTGTTTTCCCCGAACAGGTCGAGGGAAAGATGTTCACACAGGTGCATGTAATCAGGCTCAACAGAGAGATGAGTACGGTGGCTGAGGAGTGCAAAACAAAATGACAAAAGTGTGAAACACTTTTTCCAAAGCTTGGGACAAATTTTAAATTTTGGAAAACAATTTTTCCCAGGTGGAAGTCACCTTTAGAGCCATCCACAGTGCAAAAAGCATCATCATGTTGTTGTCCAATACGTCTTATATTTTCAGCCCAACGCATCCTTTCCACATTCTTTCTGCTAACTTTTAATATAAAGGTCACACCTTTGCACATTTCCACAGTGCAGGGAGCTTAGTGAAGTGTCTGATCCTGAGAGTGCACAAAGCAAGGAGTGAAAAAAAACAACTTTTAGGAGACATCTTGTACCTTAAACTTTGAGTGCTTCTTCTTCGTTTTGGCAGCAGCAGTCGACCTTGGACCCTTCTCCCTCAAAGAATGCGTTTAGTGTTTCTGCCACTCTTTAAACGCTGCAGGTCGATGTCTGCAACATCCAGACAGCCCTGAGGATGCTGCAGACACCGACAGGCTCCTGGCTGTCGCTTCAATACAAATATATTCTGGATGTAAATCACTGAATGATTCCCTCTTTAATCCCAGATAAAAGCAAAAATCACAATATCTCGTTTATTATCCCACACCTGCCTCAGAGAGGGAAAATATTATGTATTTCAAATTAGGTGGCAGGGACCATGGCAGTATACCTTCACAAACACTGCCCCCTATAGCAATCAAAGAGAAACAACAACCGGGGGGGAGGGGAGGATTCAAAACCTACTCATGTAACTACTTTTACAGATAATGAGTCATCATCACAGTGGACAGACAAGTGAAACAAACTGCTGCATATGCAATTAATGTGGTGTCTAGTCTCTTGATTTCTTGCTGAATAATGGTGTCCTTTTAATCTGTTATGGTCTGTGCATATTATTAATGCATGGCATCATAATGACATAAATAAAGTAATTGTCTGAGGCATTTTTAAAATTCTGTTCAAGGTACTTCACTCTTCATTATTAAATCTCACAGCATGCAGCACTTTCTGCAAAGTGCATAAAGCAGCAGCTTGTTATCACTCTCTGCGGGGCGTCTCAGGCTCTGGAACAAAAAAACATTTGTTTTTGTTTACAGATATTTTTTTTGCATCTTCCTTCAATAAACAATCATAAATTATTATTGTAGTGTGTTTTGTCCGGTACCACAAGCTAACCGAGACCGAGACATAGCCGAGAGCGGAGTGCTCTGAGACCGGGACAAGACCAAGACATTTAGGGATCGAATCAAATAATGAATTGAAGTTATTCGTTGTTTTGGAAAGGGGCATTTTCCTTGTAATCACAGTAATAAAGTGGAAAAAATAGCCCGTCAGTGGTGGTCTTGATTTAAAATCCTGAGTCCGCCCAGCCTGAGACCGAGACAAGCCTGAGTAAAAATGCTTTCGATTTTTTTTCGAGACCTTCCAAAAAATTGTTCTTGAAACCAAGACCAAATTACCACAAACAATACTTACTCTCTTTTTACAATACCTTTTCTAGTCGTGCACTCCTTTATTTCACCGTTTGAAAACTAATACATCGAGGATATTTATTACATGTAACTCTTCCTTTTTGCCTTGAGTGTGTGGTGCAGAGATAAAGACTCTTCATATCGTCTGAACATCTGTGGAGAAACACCACGAGTCATTCAGCTTTGATTCAATTTTTACTCTTGATGTACATCATATCCAGCTGAAGCCAGGTACCTCATATATGAAAGTCATCATTGAAGGCTTTATTTTCATTATGAAGCTTCACCGTTCTTTTATTTATTTGTTTTAAATCCATCTTAATCAGAACCCCAGAGGCAGAAAGAATACATCATAAAGATCTGATTGGCTTAAATAACATTACAGTCCTCCAGAAAAACAAGCTCGTTATAAAGTCAAAGGTCGGCTTGAGGTAAGCAACACAAGTAATGAGTTTTTATTCCATGTGGAAAACAAAGAAAGTGAATCCCTCTAGTGATAAAACATCAGCACTATGTTGCACAGGAAACGTATTATTTTAAACAGAATGATTTACTTTGTGAACGCTCTGTGTTCTGCAGAGAGAAACCCTTCAAACAGGAATACTTTTTCCACTTTTCAGGTCAAAAATCCTTTTGTTCGGTTTGCAATTTGACTCAACCATAAACTTTTTTCTGAATAGTTAAAGACGTTTTAAAGACGAAGACTTGTATTTTTTCCATTCCATTTTTGTAAAACAGGCTGTTTCTGTGTCTGTACCTTTAAATATGTAAATGAGCTGTGTCTGACCACGCCCCCTCTCTGGAAGGTGCTTGGGTGTCTCGGTTCTTTCTCCCTCCATGTCCTATTGTTTACGGTGAGAAGGCAGGCTCAGAACAAACACCCACCTGGGGGAGGGGCTACTGCCCTTTGTGATGTCATGAAGGGAAACTCTCCAAACAGCCTGTTTGAGCACACATTCTCTGAAAAGTGGAGCAGGCAAAAGACAGAGAGGATGGACTTTTCTCATCATTGGGGGGTTTGTAGACAGACTAGAGGCACATGTTAGAGTTAGAGGAACATGGTGAAGTGTGTTTTGCAGAATATGTGACCTTTAATAAAATTATTTTGTTTGGCACTTGGACCTTGAGTCAAACTTCCAAAAGGTTCAGAGAGTCGTGTGCATGTCCTGATAATCAGCTGTTCTCCACATGATGCTCATTACTTGAGCTGTTTATCCCATACAGCCTGTTCTGTGTACATGTATTAAGGCATTTAATAAGGATGCCAATCATTCTGGAGGGCAGTGCAGATGATGCAGATGCAAGCGTATATATACACAGTTCTTATATAAACTATAATCTTTACTATATAAATCTATTAAATGTAAAGTGCTAGGCGAAAGGACCATGTTAACTTGATTATTAGCTCTAGACTAATTCAGTCTCAGTTAAAGGATACAAAATAATCTCCATGAGAAATAATACCAGACTTATGTGTAATCACATGAGTTTGACCCCAGACAGAAGCAGAAAGTCCCTCATCACCCTTTTTTTTTTTTTTTGTGTGTGTCATCCCTTTTTTCAGCTTTAAGAAGATTTTGGCAAATGTCACGGACCAAAGGGATAAAAACGTCCTCCTCAGAGTTTCTTTAACAATCACTGTGTCATACAGCCGGCCTGCTTCTGGGACTCCGTTTCGATCCATTTCTTCTCCACCTCCACCTAAAAAAAAACAAAAAAAAACAAGAAAAGGTAAATGGACTTGAGCTTGTTTAGCACTTTTCTAGTCTTCAGGTCACACCTACACCTTGCCCAAGGACAAGACATGTGGCTGCAGGAGCTAGGGATCGAACCACCAACCTCCCAGAGAGAGGACCGACTCAACCACTGAGCCACAGCCGCCCTGTAACAGACTGGTAATTTGCACTTATCATGAAGATCTTCATTTTCTCAAAATTTAGTTCAGTGCATGATAATTGTTTACATTTCAAAACAATATCAGGAAAAATCAAACGATATCACAATGACAAAAATAGAAGGTCCTTGACACCTAACATCGGAAACTTTCCTTTTTTTAATAAAAAATGGCACGCAAACTGCACACTCTCAAACTTGCACAAAAACATTGACAATGTTTTGAAACTTGTGCAGACACCAGGAAGAAAAGCTTATCGCTATGCAGAAGCTAACTGGGATCCAAATAAAGAACAAAACATGTTTTTGTTGGTGCATTTTAGACAGTGTCCCCCCTGCTGTGTTTGTTAGAAACATCTGGTGCTTTACTACATGCACAATGAGAGAGCTGCATGTGTGAATGCAAACGGCCACATTTTCACTCTCTTGTTAACTTAAATTTTTCTTGTCAGCACTCCTGGTACATTTTTAGATTGAACTCGGGGTGAGCAGATGTGAGAAGGCGACAGGAAATGTTTAGGAGAATGTAACACGAGTGAGCAGGAGGGGTGATGATGTCGATTGATGAGTGCATTAGTCTCTCAATGATTTTTCAAGCAACTTTTTTGTCAATCACTTTTTCTGAACTCTTGTAAAGCACTTTGAACTGCACTTGAATTTGTCTGAAAGGTACGATATAAATCAAGTTTGATTGATGATTGATTGACTGATAATCATCTGTGACCGGTGCACTGTAGAGCGTGCGATCAGTGTTTTCTCCTAGCAAGTAATGAAGCTGCTTAATTTTTCTTTCTTGTCTGAATTTTCTTCAGTCAGGAGTGTGTCCAGAGTTTCTGGACTGGGGTGGCCCCAACTAGACTGTGCAGGGGTGGCCTGAATTTCCTGTGCACACACATGAATAAAAGAACATTAATTTACTCCTTGTGTCTGCACTCATCACATCCACTTTTGAAAAAAGTCTACTTATACTGTACATCTTCCAAGCTTAAATTCTTCAAGCACAAAAAAGTGTATGTCCACATTTTCAATTTAAAGGACTTAAAAAAAATGCAAACAAAGCTGCCTGTTGCAACACAGTCTGACTGGTGGAGTGCCTCTGACAAGGCAAATGACCAATCATAGAATGTTGGGGTGGCCAATTACATTTGAAGAGGGGCCCATGCCACCCATGACGACCCTTCTGGAAAGGCCCCTGCTCTCAGGAAGATGTGGGTTCAAATATGGCTGAAAATTAGTTTGGGTTTTTTCTATCCGATCGATCACTAAACTAATGCAGATGTTACCTTAAAACGTGGTATTGAAAAGTACTGAAGTATTGCACATTTCGACGACCTTACTCCAGAGATATAACATCTTACTTGACAATGATAGCGAGTCCAGCTGGTCACATGTTTCTGCGGCTGGATGTCGTTCACGGTGCCCAGTGACTTCACCCTGGTCTGTGACACCACGGCACCCATAATTTCACATTCCATGGTGACAAAAGGGTACCAGTCACTCGGGATCTCCTGATCAGATCCCAGCTCCAGCTTGCAGGAGAATGAATGTGGTTGATCCACCGCTAGCAGAGGACAAAACAAAAGGTCGCTTGTTGTTAGAGAAGCTGAGACACTGAAAGACAGACCTGCTGT